GCCGTGTGACAGCCGGCGCTCATTCCACCGAACCCCCATACGTTGAACAAATACACGCGATTTGGGGCCAAAATGCCGCCTCATCCCGCCGTTAATCGTGAGGCTGACCTGGGGTTTCCATTTGACAAATTTTATTTGAACAGTTTCAAATGAAATGAGATTTAACTTCACATTGCCAAAGGGGTCATGAATTTAAGATTGTTGCAATCCGTCCTAGAAATAGATTTTTTTTAAAAAGGCACAACCCCCCAGGGTTCACGGTTTCCAGGGGGATGTTTCGTGCTGGCTGGAGCCTGGGAGCCCCCCCCTCGAGGCGGCTGGTGGACGACTGGCGCAGGCCTAAGCTCTGCCACAAAACGTGGACAGTCGTGAACCGGGTCAGACCTGGGCAGCCTAAGAGCCTCTCTTCCTTCGGACCAACGTCCGCAGAGCGAGCGGGAGCCTGGTTTTGCAGGATTGGTGCATCGGTCCCGCGATTCTGCGCGAGGTCGACGCAGCGGCTCTCTCCGTGTTGTTTCCAGGACACTGGCTTGGTGCTGGGCTTGATCGAGACCGTGGACCTCGTCATGAGCCACATCTCCTCCAACCTGCAGGCCAGAGAGCCCCAGGTCACCATCGCGGGCTCCTCCTCTGTGGCAGGTGCTTGGCGGCTCCGCCGTGGGGACAGGCTGTGGGCGGAGATGAGGAGGGGTGGCCTCAGGCCCGGGGTCCCCCCCTGGGCGTGGCGGGATGGACACAGGAGCCGCGTAATTGCAGTTCCTGCCCCCCAGACTCATAGTCTCAGGTCCTTAGATTTTGAAGGTAATTACTCTACCGAAGGCAAAGGCAGGTGGGGTGTCACACCGGCCCTGCCCGGAGGTACTGACTGGCCCCTCTCTGCCGCCTCCCCTCAGAGTTCTCCGTGGCCAAGCTCCTGCCCAAAACCCTGAACTCCTCCCACTACCGCTTCCCGGCCCAGGGCCACAGCTACATCGAGATCCCCCACGAGGCCTTCCGCAGCCAAGGTGGGTGCCCTGGACCCTCCGGGGGTGGGGGACGCACCCAGGGCCTTCCCCGAGAGCCCACCTGTTCCCGCGTGAGTGGCTCAGTCCCCGGGAATGCAGGTGCATCATGGGAAACTCCTGAGATGCTCACTCTTGAGCCGACTCCAAGCCCACTCCATCCAGCCTAGTGGCCGGGATGGAACCGGGGCAGGTGGGCACCTGCGTTTCCCACGAGCTCTCTAGGTGACTCTGGTCCAGCGGGAAGGACACTGTGTGTCCCCAGACGTCTGCGCAGCTCCCGTTGGCTGAATATGAACCGATGTGGGCACCTCCAGTCCCCCTCTCAGGGGCCCCGGTTCTACTCCCTGGCAGCTTGAAAGAGGGGCCAAGGGGACCCTGGTTACTGTCTCTGACTCCAGGAGCCCTGTCTGGGGCCCAGGTGGCTCTGGCCATTTTCGGTCCAATGCCTATTGTCCCCTCTGATCCCTTGAAAAGCAAATGTGTGTGTCCCCCCATCTCAGGGACCTCAGGCAGTCAGGGAGGGTCGTGGACTCTGAGCACCTGGTCGGAGGACATGCAACTCCTGGGCTCTGCCTCCCGGGAGCTGTGTGCCCAGCCCATGGGCTGTCCCGGCGCCCCTGCCCACCCTGGGAGCTGCGGCATCTGCACGGCTGGCGTTAGCTCGGGGGAGGGGCAGGGAGTCACGGTCACTGTCCCAGGGTCTCGGGAAGGCCCCTCACTTTCCCCTCCCTGGGTCTCAGGGGAGGGCCTGCATTGTTGGGTGAGGGGTCTGCTTGGGGGCTTGTGTGTCTCCTGCTTGTCCCTGGGATGCTGACGAGGGCCCCTGTCCCGCCGCTTCTTCCGCAGGCTGGACCACGATCGTGGGGCTGCTGTACCACACGATGCACCGTTACCTGAACAACATCCGGCCGGACAGCACCAGGTGAGTCTCCGAGGGCTGCACGGCACAGAGGGAGCCGTGTGTGTGTGCACCTGCGTGTGCATGCGTGTGCCCCTTCTTTACGGCCGACCACTGTGACGTGCCCGCCGCCCACCATCACAGGTGGATACACCACCTGGCGCCTCGCTGTCCGAGCGAGGAAATGCCACGGCCCTTAGAAGAAGACGCAGGAACTCCCACCTGGGGGTCGGAAGGCCTGGGGGAAGCCTGGTAGTTGGATGGTCAGGAACAGAGCTGGGCCACCCCCTCCGAACTAACTATGACCTTGGACACGTGCCTTAACCACCCTGAGCCCCGGTCTCCACGGCTGTAGGATGACAGCCAGCCGCACAGGCCTCCACCAGTCAGCACTGTGTTGGGTACATCAGCCTGAGCAGGAGGCCGGGGCGCTGGGGCTCGTGGGCCTAAGAGGGGCAGGAGCAGGTCGGCTTCGGGCGCAGCTGGGCCCTGTAATCTTCGCACACGTGTGGTTTTTTGTGAGAGTGAAAGGATGAGAGGGAATCGTAATGTCCTTACATCCCCCAGGTGGGGGCGGGTCCAAGTCAACAAGTGAGTTTAATGCGCAAAGAGGGAAGCCAAGGCCGGGCCAGGCCTGGCCAGACCGCTCCAGGGGCCCGAGTGACAACTGCCTGGGGACAGTGTCTAACGTGCACAGGTCCTGGGGGCGGGAGGCTTAGCCGGCTTTTGCTGGGCCGGCTGGATGCAGAGGGTCCTCCGAGGCTCGCTGTCCCCTGGCCCCGCAGTGACCGACTGCTCAGCTGTCACCGATGGTCACGCTGGGCTGGGACAGCCGCTTCCTCAAAATAGGACCAAGAAAGCCTTTTAAGCAAAAGAGGAGTTTACTGGGTCACGGGAATGGAAAGGTGCGTGAGTAGGTGGCTTCAGGAGCGGCTGGATCCAGCATCCAGGGGATGCCCCTCGGCTCCCTCTCAGCTCTCGCTTCCCAGCCCTTAAAGGGAACAGGTTCTGAGAGACAGAATTCAAGCGGCAGGATCTGAACTGAGCATGGGACTCGCCCCCAGGCGCCAGCACCCAGCCTGGAAGGAAGCAGTCAAATCGAACTTCTGCCCCCCAACAGCTCCATCCCCGAGGCTTCGGGCTCCTGGGCCGCATGCCCCCCTCCCCTGCGGGTAATGATTTCTCGTTCCTTTCCCAGGATTGCCGAGGCAACGGCCTACAAGGGCTGCCCGCTGTCTGCCGCCAGCTACCTCATCTCCCTGGAGGTGGTCCCGCCGCCCGCGCTCTCCCAGAACTTGTCGGGCTCGCCGCTCGTCACCGTCCGGCTCAGGCACAAGTTGGTGAGTGAGCGGGAGCCGACCCGGCCTCGCACCTGTCGCCTGCTTTGGTTTTGCTCGGAGGGACGCTGGGTTGCCTGGTGCCGGTAGAAAGGAACTGCGATGATTTGGGCGCCGGCCCGAGCGGGTGCTTGTCTCTCGCCCGAGCTCCTGTTTGGGGACGTGTCTGAGCGTGGCGGGAGGTCCCGTGGACGGTGTGGACAGCGTAGGGCCGGTAGCTTGGCTCAGACGTTGGGTGGAAAGGGCTCTGGGGCCAGAGGCAGCATGGGGGGGGGGGTTCTGGTTCATGATAAATGTCCTTCTTTTATGTACATATTGATCTCAGAGAGAGAGAAACATCAATGACGAGAGTCGGTGATCGGCTGCCTCCAGCTCGCCCCCTGCTGGGGATCGAGGAGCCTGCAAGCCGGCCTGCGCCCCGACCGGGAATCGAACCGCGATCTCCCGGATCCTAAGTCGATGCTCCACCGCTGAGCCGCGCCGGCCGGGCACTGAATGTCCTCCTTGGA